ATTTCCTTTTAAATCAGGGAGAAAAGCTAACGCAGTGAGGTTTGCAATGAGCCTGGAAAGTTCACAGCAGGAATCTGGAATTCTCATGTGTTAAAAAATAAAGCTGGTGTCACTTTGTATCTTGTTGGTCTCTGTGGGATCTGGAAGAAGGAGCTGGAAGCTGTAACGCAATGTGATAAGACATTGACTTGAAGTCGAAAAAATTACTGTAGATCTTGTTTTGAGAATTAGAATTCTAGAACTGCAGAATGGTTTGGGTTGGAAGGGACCTTAAAGACAATCTGGTTCCAACTTTCCTGCCTTGAGAAGGGGCGTCTTCTGCTAGAGGTTGCTGAGGGCACCATCCAATGTGCCCATAATCACTCCCAGAGATGGGGCATCTGTGATTTCTCAGGGCAACCTTTCCCAGTACCTCAGTAAAGGWTTTTTTCCTGATATCTAATTTATACCTACTCTCACTTTAAAGCCACTACCCCTTGTTCTATCAATTATCCCTAACAAGGAGAGTACTTGGGCTAAAGGTGTCCAGAGGGTRTTATTGAGTCCAGAGCACAGGATCAGTGTGAGGCAGTGTTCAAAGTGAAAGAGGAAGTGTTGGCATCGAGACATTTAAGAAATATTGGTYTACGAGTGACAAATCTGTGCCTAAGCCTGAAGAGTGCCCTATGCTTCTGCAAGAAGGTGGTTGCTGCCTGATCCAAAGATACCTTCCCTCTGCTCTTGGAGTGCTTTCCTGAGGGATGATGCTCTTTAATCCCTGGAAGAGGATCTCTGTAGCAGTGAGGGAGGCCACAGWAAGCTGTTTTTAGAAGTGAACTACATGTGTATTGCAGTCAGACTCTCCCTTTTCAGTCTTAAGTAACAAAATCAGCTGTAGATGTGCTTCCAGTCTTCCAGCATTCTAAGGTAAGGGTTTGAAAGCGGCACAGTTCCCAAAGACATGAGCAAGCAGTGTTTGATGGTTGATTTTCTGTCATGTCTGATGCTTATGGATAAGAGCAGTCCTGGGTGGTGATGAAGACGTGAGCTCATCCCACAGCCTCTTTCATGACTGCCCCAATACCCAAAGCAGGGCATGGAGCCCCTTTGCTCCCCCTCTTTTCYGCTCCCAGTGCCTGTGACAGGTTTCTCTGGAGGTCTTTCAATAAAATTCACCCTGCAGTGATAGTTCAGACAAGAGATGGGATTTGAAAATGCATGGCCCTTGCCTCAGTGGAATTTGATATTGCACTCCTCAGCCAGCTATGGGAAGGGAGGCTGGAGYGCCCACTGACCAGCAGTGGGGCTGAAGTGAGCCCGAGAGGAATGCTGTGCTTTGCTGAGCCTCCTGGGGGAGGGCAGCCCAGCAGTGGGTTCATTGCTGCTGCCCCACATGCACCGGGCTGGGGTGGACCTTGTCTCTGGGGTGGACCTTATCTCTACGGAGWTCCCAACAAGGAGCAGGGGCCACTGGCAATAGCTGGACAAAGCCATATCTTCACCAAGCTCTCCCCAGGCCACCATACTTCTTCCTCTGCTGGATAGAGGGAGAAAAGTACTTGGTAAGAGAAGGGGCTTTTGGCATTAGAAGTTCATTGTTGCTGAGGTGCTGGGATATTTAAAGRTGAGAAAACTGAGCAAATTGCTGGTCCTGATGCAGTCTCTGGTTTAGGTGGAGCCCCGCTCAGCAGCTGCACCAGACACARTGAGGAGATGAGGTCTCACCTGCTGCTCTGGGCAGAGGCAGCCTCCACTGGAGGACATGGTCTGCAGGAGAGGTGTCTGTGGGTCTGTTCTTGCCCCTTGGCATCCATGTGATAGCCATGAGTGCTTGCAGATCCTGCAGACCCAGGAGTGGTCAGGGGGTGTCAGCTGTGGCTGCCCATATCTAAGGATGAACTTCACTTTCCTCTCCTGGGTGAGACCCTCCTGCCTTTTCCCCCAAACCCAGCCATTCCTGATGTGGTCTGTGTTTCTCATACCRGAGAAAMTCTWGCTTTAAAGTAGCCTTATTTTTAACAAAAATAGACAGMTGCCCAGGGATGAGGAATGTACTAAACCTTGTAATCTAGTTACCTTGGTAACATCTGTAAGAAACTAGTGCTAAGCCACTATATGCTTTTTCTTAATATCTTTTATGGAAATACATATTTCTGTTTACCTGAAAAAAGTGTGATTTGTACCATTCCCATTGTAGCCATTCTCTTGACCATTATCCTGGCAAAAAAAATTCCCGTTTCTAACAAGCAAGGTTAAATGACTGTRAAAACAGATATTTGACTTTATAGCAGAAACCGAGATTTGCTGTCAATTTAACTAAGCTTTTTCTAAGAAAAGCATAAATCTTGTAAAAACATTTTTGGTTGTTTCGGAGTATTAAAATGCTTAATCACATTTACTCAGCATAAGAATTCTTTTCAATGGTCATGCTTTAGAACAAACAGAAGTGTTTTTTTTTTTTCTGCATTGCAACCTTCTCACACAATTGTGAGTTTTAGTTGTCAACCACATGTCATACAGGGCAACAAAAAAAGAAATAAAAGCATTATTGCTAGGCAAACCTAACAGCTGTGCTTGAGAATTGGCTGTTCCTGCATCTAGCTCTTAGCACAGCTCTCATCATTCCCTTTTAGCAGTCTGTATCCTGATAGCGGTTACTCTGCACTTCATGAGCTGGGACTCCTGAGTTCCCTAGGAATCAGACTTGTGTGCTGCTGGGTAGGCAGTGCCCCCATCTTTTAGGTGGTTCTTTGTATCCTCTGGTTACTCACTTGTTTCTCTTTTGGCTGCCAGCAGTAGGGAATTTTCTGAGCCTTTCAAAGGGAAGAGCATCCTTCACTTGGTGACCCATTCAGTAATTGATTTAATTAATTTGAAACTAACTGTCACTTTTTAAACTGTTCATCAAGAAGCCAATTATCTCTTAACAGTCCTAAATACAAAWCAGCAGCAACCAAAGCATGTCTCTGTTAAAGAAATACGGATTTCTTTCTGGCATCTCAGAACTTTTGAAATATGGAAATATGGCTATTTTCTTTTAAAAAAATGAAGCCCCTGGATTAGAATTCCCTCTTCTATTTTGGAATAGTGAAACTGCTTATTTATTTCTGAACATGCATTTAGAATTTTAGCCTTTTTATATGTGCTATGCCTAGAAGATGTAAGTCTCAGGGCATGGTAGAAGGTTTATTAAGAATAAATCTTGCTCTTTTTATTCACTTACATGGCTGACATTCTTAAGTAGCCTTGCTATGTTGCAAGTTTGGTTGGTGTTCATATTTAAAAGACTTATTCTAGGAATGTTATGTCTTTTATTGTATATACACTTGTATTTGCAAGAGGTAATGTAAAAATGATACATAGCAAAGCATAGTTGTATTTTTTTTATTACACAGCTGTTTTAGAACAATAAAAATGCTTCTTAAGTAAAATTATTTAAATTTTGACTCTTAATTWGTATTGTTGTGCAATCAGATTTTTTTACAGGTTTACAAAACAAAGCAATTTTAAAAATATGTTTGTAGTGCATGCCCAGTCCTCTCTATATATTTATGGCATAAAAAATGTTTGAGACTGCAGCAAGCATGGCAATGATGTATGATGRCTTATCTATGGCTTTCTAAGTGTGTAACTGAATTAGATCACTATATCACTACCCATTTATCCAGTATTTTCTTCTCTTTKAAAAATCTGATGTGAATAGTTATTTTTCACCATAATAATGATGGTGAGTCAACAATTTGATCAGTCATGTAGTTAAAACATGAGTATTTCTGAGTAAATCTGTTAAAGGATGTGTTCTGATGGTTTGTTTTGGTTTTTTTTAAGTTCACATATGTATAAATGTGTTTCCTGCTTTTGTATGGAAGTTGTTTAGAAGGGCCACATAAGATGGTATATTAAGGTGCTAATATATTAAGTTCCATCTCATCCAATATCCCCAGCTTCAATCTGAATGCATTCCTGACTACTGACTCCCCAGTTTTATTTCCAAGTTCATTGTCTGCAATCAGCATAGGCTTATAGAGCCCCAGGCAGGTGTTTGCACCATTAGCAAAACCATGGAAGTTGCCAAAACAGAGGTGCTTTAATGAATGAGAAATATGCAAATTGTGCGCCAAATTCTGCTGCCGTTTAATCCTTTGAAGGATAAATTGTTTTGCTAGATAGCCTGTTGGCCAAGAGATTGTTTAGAAGTCAAGAAAGGCTGAGTAGTAGCACAGGTGGAAAATTCCAGTGCTGGCAAGAACAGGATACACAAATCCATAAGTATTTGAAGACAAATATTAATCCTACAATSCAGCTCTTAAATCTTAGGGGTAAAATGGCACATCCAGAGCTTTTGAATGGAGCTTTCAAGTTTATMATTTAATCCACCATTTATCAGTATTTTTGAGTATTTTGTGACACACAATGAGTGAACAAAGTGGATAAGCRCCTGAACAAAATGAAGAAAGGATCTTTTGTTTTGGGAGTCAGCTCTTCTGGTATGATCTCTACTGCCAGCAGTGAATGGATCAGCTGTATTTATGTTGTATCTCTGCAAGAGGATGTTTATGGATGTGACATGTGCTGTTCTGCACACTTAAAACCTGAGATTCAGATTCTCTCTCAATACCACGTGCACCTCTGTTGATTTCAGAAATATGTAATAGTGCACTCATGAGCACAGTATAAGAATTGAAATAGATCCTTAAACATATGGACAGACAGATTGATTAAGGCAGACTTTATCACTTTGTCCCTAAAAATCCTTTGTGATTATCTTTTATGTACACTGTGATACTAAATTGTCAGCCCAGATAATTTCCCTTACTTAGTAATGTTCTATGGATTTACTTAAAGCTTTTGCTTGCAAATGTGGAGGAKTGTGTGTGCACATTTTGCAGAAATGTACTGGTCCTTGTAATATAATCAGTTTTCATTCTGTTTTTAAAAAATATTGTGAATATATAAATTATGTTTGAACTGGACAGAGATGATTATGTGGCATGTGACTGAAAATATATATTTTTTAATAGATGATTCAGCCGCAGAGAGTTTTAATGGCAATGAGACCGTGGGACACAGTTCCAATGCTTCAGGGGGAACACACTGCAGGGAGATGGCAGAAACCAACAGTAATGGCAAAACAAATCTGGAGCAGGATGAGCAGCCTCTGAACCTGAGTGACAGTCCCCTCTCTGCTCAGCTGACTTCAGAATACAGACTAGATGATCACAGCAGTAATGGAAAGAACAAATACAAGACTCTCCTAATTTCTGATCTCAAGATGGAACGGGAGGCAAGAGAAAATGGAAGCAAGGTAAGATGCTTCCACATGGTCCAGATATGAAGCATGTAGTATAGAAAAGAAAGAGGTGTGGGAGGCCAAAACTGAAGATTATTCCGAGTAAAGCACTTAATGCAATGTGTCTAATGTTTGTCAGATCATTGCTTAAATGTCATATGTAGATTTGTATGCTCTGTTACACATATATGATGCATATRTACGTTAAGTGTATGTGGATGTGCAGGGGTGAATGCATGTGTATAAGCAAATATATTGTGCTGACATACGGACAAAAATGGTGTAGTTCTCCATCAGACATGAATTTTATCAATCCATTTATTGAGAACCATCTGCATTACCTATTTGAACAAAAATATATTAAAATATGTATATAATGTGATACATACATATACGTACAAATATGGAGACACACATATGTATGTATATTTACAGATGGCCATCTCATCACACCTTTTATGTATCAGTAGATTTTTCATGGTTTAAACCCAGAYGGCAACTAAGTACCTCACAGCCACTTGCTCACTCTCCTCCCTGCCCTGGTGGGGTCAGGAGGAGAATGGAAGAAAGGTAAATCCTATGGGTGGAGATAAGAACTGTTTAATAATTGAAATAAAGTATATTAATASTACTGCTACTACTGGTAATTGTAACAAAAAAGGAGATAACAAAAAGAGCRAGAGGAATGAAGTCCAAGAARCACAAGTGATGCACAATACAGTTGCTCACCACCCAKTGACCAATGCCCAGTGAGTGTCTGAGCAGTGATTGACAGTTTCTGCCCAGCTCCCCCCAGTTTACATAGTGGGCATGATGCTCTGTGGTRTGGAATATCCCTTTGGCCAGTTTGGATCAGCTGTCCYGGCCGTTCTCCCTTCCAGCCATTTGTACACCTGWTCACTGGCAGAGSCTGGGAAACTGRAAAATCATTAACTTGGGGTAAGCACTGCTTAGCATAAACAAAAACATGTATGATATCAGTATTATTCTCATCCTTAGTCCAAAACATAGCCCTGTWGCARCTACTAGGAAGAAAATGAACTCTCTCCCACCAAAACCAGGATAAGAATGAATCCATATGAGTGTTAAATGTGTATGCSCAAGAAAATTTCTACCAGTGAATTATCAGCATCTGAAAGGAACTGATTTGGTTTCTTCAAGATTGTGTTATGCAGGCACCTAACCTGAATTAAAACTGACAAGTTTGCTTTAAGAAGCTGTAATCCCCTGAGGGCTTTTCGCTGTAGTTTCTATTATGTGGGTAAGGAGAAGCAAGGGTTTTATTTTGTAGATAAAGACAGATCCTGTAGATTAAGTTAGCTAGCTTTCTAGGATGGCGTTTTTCATGAGGGCCTACAGAAGGGAGGGTGAAGAAATGGCATATGTCATAGAATTTACCTTATTTACCCTTTGATCTTACTGGTGACAAGTTCTTTTTTTTTTTTAATCTGATGACCAACTGCCTTACCACTTTTACAGCAGCAATAATAGGATGTGAATCTTGGATCCAAAGACTATTAATGCTAGTCACTAGCTTTCAGCAGCCTGACAACATAGATGTACTTTGAATGGGCACATTTTTTTACAGTGCTTTGAAATAGGAGTGTTAAAATCCTTAGGCATGCTTAGAAAGGGATTGTACATGACTGATATCTAGAGAACAACATTTAATTATGCTAAGGTTTTATCTCCTATCTTCATTGCCTATGGAGTGAAAACAAAAACTTGTAATGTTGTGTAACGTGTCTAGGTTTTAGAGGGTAGRACTAAGGGAGACTAAATGGGAGATTGTTAGTCTTTCTTATGGCCGTTTAGCAAATTATGTATCCCAAGACCTTCTCCATAAAATCTTTATGAATGACTGTTTATCTGTATGGAATACTTTTTTTTCACACAAACCTGCATTTTATGGATTATATTCTGACTAGCTGTAGTCTCAGCCTGTGTACACACCCCAGTGCTGGATTGACTCAGTATTTGGAGTTGCCCAGGGAGGCCCAAATTGGCTGATATGAACRATATCTTCTTTTGCCTCAGGGCAGATTGTTCTAATGAACCTTCTATAAGCCCATCACCCAAATATTGACAGACACACAGGCTCTTTTGCCTGAGGTAAATTGTTGCTTTTGCCTTCACTCTTGGAAATACACAAATAAGCTTGGCARAGATACAGAGGAGTCTTAAGGTGAAACTCATTTATAGCTAAGACAAGAACATAGCCTAATGTTGAATTTACAATTTGAATCAGTTCCAAATCAGATGCAAAAAAAATTATCACAAAGTGCTAAAAATCTGTAATGAATTGAGATGACAATCAAAGCCATCTCATTCTTTACAAATTTCAAGAGGCCAGAATCATCCCCCACATCAATRCATTCTTTCACACTTGCTGTCAACCTACCCACTCTATGCTGCCAACAATATGCAGATTTGTCTCCCTTTTTTGTCCTRGTGAAACTCATGTTGATGTTTACAGTTCATTTAAGTATATGATTAATTAGACATGCAGTAAAGATCTTTAAATATRGGCTAAATACTTTAGGAAGAACATAATCCTGGGATAAATGAAATTTGCCAGAGATTTGTAAAATAAGTTAGTGAAGAAAATATCTGTTTTCTAAGTGAGGGGAACTATATTTCAGTTATTGGGCTAGTACTGGAGGAAGAAATACATAGTGCTTCTTCCAACTTCTATAATGTCCCATTTAACCTGCACAAGATGCTATTTGYTTGGGATGGTCCAGACTGTGAATCTCAGAGGCAGAGGAATGGAGCTAAGATCTCTTGGCTGACATGTTCTGAAAGTAAACTTTGTATGTTCTGTCAAATTATGCTCAGAGGAAGCCATTGAGATAAAAATGGTAGTTTTCTTATAATATTTTATTTGAAAATGTGACAGCTAACAGGGAAATCTTTTTTGAAAATCGTTACTTCTTTGTGGAAGTTAAATTTTTASAATATTCATCTTGTCCATGCCTATTTGAATCAATTATGTGCTAATATTATAGGGAAAATTTGCCAAATAATGGTCCCTTTCTGCAAAACTCTTGGATGTCAAAACAGGGATACTTAACATTTTCCTAAAATCAGGCCTTTCTAATGGACACAGAGAATGTAATTAGTGATTTGTAAGAAATGTGGAGCATTTTTTTTATTATAAATCAAGTTTTCTTTCCTGAAAATACTCTGATAAATAACTGGGGATTAGATAACCCTGTGAACAAACTCAAACAACTAGAGTATATTATTTAAAGAATGTTCGGTTCAGTCACTTCAGAATATGACTTTTAAAACTGCTGCTAGTAACACTCTTTAAACAAATTTGACATTTCAGTGGACAGTTTTACTTTGAATYTTCAGCTCCAGGCAGTGAGTACGTGTGGTAATCTGTTTTTTGTACAAAAAGACCATGAGCTGGGTGCAGTGAAGAGAGTTGCCAGATTGTAACAACCTTAAAATCTGTTCCAAAATGTTCTGATATTCACTGCAAAAATGTTGTTCAAAGACAAAATGGGTTTTTATAGTATTAAATACATATATGTACATATGTGTACAAATATATGTATACATATACACTTTATATATATGCTTTTATTAAGCTTATATTAGAGAACAGATCCTCCAGTAAGACCTAGATGTTTACARTAGCAGAAATTTCTAGAACCTTTTCGGTCTAAACTGAAGTCTGTGAAATTTGCATAGCTGCAAAAATATATCCATAAGTTTACCTTAACAGGGCTGGGTCTTTGTATTGCAAAAGATTGCAAATGGTCTGCAAATTGGGTTCTATGAATTAAAATAGTTAAGTGCACATATAAATAGTTTGGATTATTACTTATGAGTGATCCTGCTGGGGTTTTGTATGACCATGGTGAAGGGTCTGTAGAAATGAGATTTTTCATTGCTGCTTCTTTTGTTGTTGCTACTTCCTGGACCATGTATTTTATTTTGAAAATTTATTACATAGCTTTATCTCTTCTTCATTATTTATTTCATTAAATATATCAAGCCTACTCCTTTTAAATCATTTTATCTCCTCTGCATTTGGATARCATGGTTATTGTGATACAGTATGGGAAAACAGGCTTTTGAGCTCACCAGTAATCTTACATTGTGGAATTATTCTACCTGGATTATTAACTAGTTTGTYATGTCTCTGTTGCAAGGGGCATTCCTAATATGCAGAAACTTCTCTTTGGAATTTCCCAGATAGACACGTGTGCTACTGATCATAAATACCTAGGAGATGCATTAAAATGAGGTAACAAGGACAACACACCTGCCTATTTTGTCCAGATACCTACTGATTGTGAACAGTTGGTTTTCTTTCTTTCTACCTGATGAAATTTCTGAAAGAAAGTTGGACAGCTCGAGTCCCTCTGCATGTATGATAGGCTAAGTTAATATACATTATGTTTAGCTCGAGAGTGTAATTGGCTACTTGAAGAATTGCACAAGATAAGAATTATTTTCTCTAGATCTGAGAAGTAAAGCATAGTTTTAAAGGAGAGAACRGTAAATAATGACTGCTGCATACCATGACCTTTAATTGTAATAYTGCATTCTAATTCTACTGTTACAGTAGTTCACAACCAGGCAGAGCTTTCATGTAGTCTCTAAAACTAAATTCTTTCTCTCTCTCCTTTAAAGCTGGGATTTTGAAGTGCTTCTCAAGCTTTTTTCTACAGCCTGATGTAAAGAACAGTGTTATTGTCATGGGCCACTGCCGGGGGCTGTTTGCTTCCAGCAATTGCAATTTCAAATCAGTGTTGTAATGGGTGTATCTACACCATGGTAGGTTAGCCTGACACACTGACTGATTTAACACAGACCCCACTCCATGGAGGTGTTTAAAGGCTGTAACCTTGTCTGGCGTCTGAAAGCCAGAGGATGTATGAGGTTCTGGGTGAAGTTTAAAGTTCCTTCACAATACTGTAGTTAAAATTTTCATCATCTTCAGTAGTTAGTCCAGCTGTAGAATCGTACAACATCTGTTTTGCTGGAGCTCATCACTA